CCCAGATCCTAAAATAAATCCCAAAATAAATCCCAAATCCCAAAATAAATCCCAAATCCCAAAATAAATCCCAAATCCTAAAATAAATTCCATATCCCAAAGTAAATCCCAAAATAAATCCCAAATCCCAAACCAAAAAACAGATCCCAAAATAAATCCCAGATCCCGAAAAAAATCCCAAATCCTAAAATAAATCCCAAATCCCAAAATAAATCCCAAAACAAATCCCAAAACTAATCCCAAATCCCACTAAAATAAACCCCAAAATAAATCCCAAATCCCAAAATAAATCCCAAATCCTGAAATAAATCCCAAATCCCGAAACAAATCCCAGATCCCAAAACAAATCCCAAATCCCAAAATAAATCCCAAAATAAATCCCAAATCCCAAAATAAATCCCAAAATAAATCCCAAATCCCAAAATAAATCCCAAAATAAATCCCAAAATAAATCCCAAATCCCAAAATAAATCCCAAATCCCAAAATAAATCCCAAATCCTAAAATAAATCCCAAATCCCAAAATAAATCCCAAAATAAATCCCAAAATAAATCCCAAATCCCAAAATAAATCCCAAAATAAATCCCAAATAAACCCCAGATCCCAAAATAAATCCCAGATCCCAAAACAAATCCCAAATCCCAAAATAAATCCCAAAATAAATTCCAAATCCCAAAATAAATCCCAAAATAAATCCCAAATCCCAAAATAAATCCCAAATCCCAAAATAAATCCCAAAATAAATCCCAAATCCTGAAATAAATCCCAAATCCCGAAACAAATCCCAGATCCCAAAACAAATCCCAAATCCAAAAAAAAATCCCAAATCCCAAAATAAATCCCAAAATAAATCCCAAATCCCAAAATAAATCCCAAATCCCAAAATAAATCCCAAAATAAATCCCAAATAAATCCCAGATCCCAAAATAAATCCCAGATCCCAAAACAAATCCCAGATCCCAAAATAAACCCCAAATGCCAAAACTAATCCCAAATCCCAAAATAAATCCCAAATCCTAAAATAAATCCCAAATCCCAAAATAAATCCCAAAATAAATCCCAAAATAAATCCCAAATCCCAAAATAAATCCCAAAATAAATCCCAAATCCCAAAATAAATCCCAAATCCCAAAATAAATCCCAAATCCCAAAATAAATAAATCCCAAATCCCGAAAAAAATCCCAGATCCCAAAATAAATCCCAAAATAAATCCCAAAATAAATCCCAAATCCCCCCCAAAAAAATCCCTCAAACCCCAAATCCCAAAAAAAGACCCTAAAACCCCCCTCAAATCCAAAAAAAAACCCAAATCAAAAGAAATCCCAAATCCTAAAAATACCCAAATCTCAAAGAAATCCCAAAAAACTCCAAATTCCACCCCCAAAAATCCCCGAAATCCTAAAAAAAATCCCAAATCCCAAAAAAACCCCCAAATTCCACCCCCAAAAATCCCTGAAATCCTAAAAAAAATTCCCAAATCCCAAAAAAAACCCAAATTCCACCCCCAAAAATGCCCCAAAAATCCCAAAAAAACCCAAATTCGAAAAAAAATCCCAAATCCCCCAAGAAAAACCCCAAATTCCAACCCCAAAATGTCAAAAAAAGTCCCCAAAAATAAAAAAAATCCCCTAAAAATCCTTAAAAAAAATCAAAAATCCAAAAAATCCCAAATCCCAAAAAAACCCCAAATATCCCCCAAAAATCCCCCCCATTAAATCAAAAAAAAATCCCCAAATATCCCAAATCCCAAGAAAGAACCCCAAAAATCCCCAAAAAATCCCAAGCAACCCAAAAAACCCCAAATCCCCCCAAAAATGCCAAAAAATCCCCTAAAAATAAAAAAAATCCCATAAAAATCCCCCCAAAATTCCAAATCCCCCTCAAAAAATTCCCCCAAAAAATCCCAAAAATCCCAAATCCCAAAAAAACCCCAAAAAATCCCAAATCCCAAAAAAATTCTTCACTAAAAAATCCCAAATTCCATTAAAAAACCCAAATCCCCCCCAAAAATGCAAAAAAAATCCCCTAAAAATCCCCCAAAAATCCCAAATCTCCCCAAAATAATCCCAAAAAAATCCCCCAAAAATAAAAAAAAATCCCAAAAATCCCAAATCCCCCTAAAAATCCTCAAAAATCCCCAAAAATCCAAATCCCCCAAAAAATCCTCAAAATTCCCCAAAAATCCATATCCCCCCAAAAATCCAAAAAATCTCCAAAAATGGCAAAAAATCCCCTAAAAATCCCCCCAAAATCCCGAATCCCCCCTAAAAATCCAAAAAAAATCCCCAA